GGCAACGTCCGATAGCGAGCTAGAGATGCAGCTACAGATTGCGTATGGTCAAGAAACGCACACGCACACGCACACGCCTCCGCCCCCGTCGAATGACCCTCCTCTGGCCGCAACAAAACGACAGCTATTACAAAGTGCTTTCCAAGGCATGAAGACTGTGTTTCAGTTTCTTGGACTCAAGGCCAAGAGCATATGCATATGACGCTATACGGCGTAGACGAGTAGATACTTTGGTCTCGTAGCTCTATGTGCGCAAGGCCCGGAACAGTGTATTCACTGTCTAGAAAAAGCGCGAGAGTTGCATGTGCTGGAGCGATAGACCAGCAAAGGGCGAGCAGTCTCTGCGAGCAATGGCACAGGAAGCTTTGGCGTTCTCTGAAGCGTTGATACCACCCACGGAGTACCGAGAAGAGCTCGAGACATGTGCCGAGTATGGGGTGTGCGCGTATCTGGTGCGGTTCGCGGTGGAGCGAAGTATATGGTTAGGCCGGTACCGCGAAGTGTATAAAAACTACCATGGGCTACTCCAAAGGAGAATCGAAATCAAAAGGAGTGTCACCGAGAGGATGATGGATGTGGGAATCAAAAGAAGCTACAACAAGATGTGGGAGAAGTTGGCGGATCAAAAGATGGACATTCTTGCGTTCTTCAACGCCGATAGCCAGGAGACATGCAAGGAGATGTGGAGTGCACGACAAGGTGAGCTTGTGACAATCATGAGAGAGCGCAGAAAGCATATAAAGCTCCCATGGCAAACGGAGTATTTTTTCACTGATGGGTATCTGGATGCCCAACTGGAGAATCGAGCGATGGTTGATTTTGTGTATCAAGAAGCCCGAGATGTGCAAAGACGGAGAGACCCTCCAAGGGTGCGTGTGACGTGGGAAATGTATGTGCTGATGCAGTTTGGTATATTCTTTAGGAGAAGCAAAAGGGAGGCTGTGTACAGCGCGTATCCCGAGCTTCCTCGAGTCACACTGTTTGTCCACTGGTTGAGGCTCATGAGCGTAAAGGTTCATCTTTCGAACAATCAGGGCGTGCCTCTTTACATCATGGTGGGGGAAATGTTGGGGGGGCGGATGTAAAGAGTGACATGGTGTCTGGGTTACTTTGACGCGGTGAGCGTGTGGACACGACCGTCACGTGGTTTAAGCAGGCGAGCCCCTATGGCAAGCAGGCAAGTTGACATAGGGTTCGAGTGCATGATAGAGGCATATGCGGAGTTCATCGGGTGGATTACCGCGGAGTAGACGACGAGCCCATGTGTGTATTGCAAGCTGTAAACTATGTACTTTATTTCAGTTGATACGTGATGCATGGAGTGATGAGTCTTTTAGTATGGAGCTTTGACCGAGCTTTGACTGGGCTTTCAATGAGCTTTTAATGAGCTTTCAATGAGCTTTCATCGAGCTTGTATTGGGAGGTCTCGTATTTCAAGCAGTAATTCCTCTCGATTAGAGGCTTGGAAGCTTAGTCATGGAATTCCCCTAGGCTAGGGAACCGAGAAGCCTACGGTAGAAAGAGTTGATGATTATTATGCTAGTTGCGATGTTAATCATAATAGCGCCCCAAGTCAAGTTCCTCGGTCTAACGTATGGGGCCATTTTACTATGGGTAGATTTCAACAAGGCGGTCAGATGCGTTGTATATAGTGTCATGTTTGCGTGAGTGACCCAAATGGTCATTGTGCTCAATGTAATGAGTGCTTAGAATAGTATATGTATTGTTCGCCGTTTCAAGAGCAGTTTAGAAGCAGGATACTAGTGGCGTAGTGTTTAGATCAACGACGTGTGGTATATCCGGTGTGTAGACGGCCTAATTAGTCAAATAAAGACATGAATCATGTAACCGTGTGTTCATAGTATACTACAAACTATATATTATGTTTCGTTCTTCTATCTCCACTGAGTAATCTCAATTATTGTTTCGAGAAAAAAGCCCATTTTCGGCCTGAAAGACTAGGCAGGATGATAAACATGCAAGTCGTCTCAGACCCACCAAATTTCTCTAAAATGTAAGGATGTAGGTACGGATGTTCAATGGTGTAGGGAGGGATGTGGGGATGTAGAAGGAAGATCGAGAGAAAATGGTCATGTGATGAAAAGTCGAGGGAGAGGAGCAGGTCATGTGATGGAAATCGAGGGAGAGAAGCTAGTCATGTGACGGAAACTCGAGGGCGGGAGCGAGAAGGCGAGTGAGGATGGGGTAGGAACGGTGTCGATGTAGTAGTATTGGAATCTGTAATTTGGAGAGAATGCAGAGAAGATAAACAGGATATGGTAGTATAAGAACGTGGAATGCCAAGTAGTATGCCAGGAGGTCGAAGGTGAGAAGATTAATTACGTTGGGTAGTGAGAGGTGCGTAGTAAATGGGAGGCGCGTGGTGAAACTAGCAGTGGAAGTAGAGGGAGAAGGAGTTAATGAATTGCTGTTTTTGATCGAGAAGAAATAGGAAAATATATCAATAATTAATCAATGAGGGGAGAAGTCATGGAGGGGGGTAGGTAGGTGGAAGTCGGATAGGATAGTGTTTACATTCATTATTAAATAATGAATGTCTGGATAGTGGATGCCTGGATAATGAATTCTTTCAGATAGTGGATGTCTGGATAGTAGGTTTCCTAAGAAAGTAGGTATGCGAGAAAAGCAGGTATCGAGCAAAGCTGGTCTGCCATGAAAACGGGGTGAGGAATGGAGATTTCCAAGAGGTAAGATCCCAGGTGCGATCCAAAATGAGATCCGAGGAAGGTGAGGTATTAGGAAGTGAAGTGTCAGGGAATCGCGATGTCATGGAAGGTATCTCGAGAAGGTGGGTATCCCACGAAGGTGAGGTGCCAGGATGGTGAGGTGTCAGGAAGGCGGGTATCCTAGGAAAGCTGAGATGGGAAGTAGGTGCCAGAGAAGCAGGTATTCCAGGAGCGGTAATGCGAGAAGCGATGGAAGAAGTAGG